CAGCATACTATTCCAACAACAAAAAACCCCTCCATTCCTTCGAGTAATACTAGGGACACACATGAAAACAGAATGACATGAATACTGTGGAATCAGAATATCTGGAGCAGCAGCCTGGTGCAGTGGACTGAGCATAGGGCTGGATTGCTTTGTAGATTTCACAGTTCTGTTTCAGAGGCTGCATAGTGTGGTTGAAATGCACCAGTTAAATTGCTGTTGCAAGGAGTAGATACAGCTGCTGTAGGATTGACTGCCATTCAGAGGTGGGGAGTGAAGTTACTGCTGTTCTTTCTGAGGAAAGCTATGTTAAAATGCATCCCCGGCTAGTCTAGCTGCCTTCCATTGAAACAGCTATTGTATTTAGTTCTCTGGGTGGGTCAGTCTGAACTTTGGCATTGAGAGATTGCTGGGATCTGGGGACAGAGAAATTTAAGAGGACTGAACCATAGGGACACACTTGTGTTTCAAGCAAGGCTGCAATAGTTTGCTGCATATGCAGTCATTTCTTATGTCCCTGAGGTAAAAGTCAGGATCAGCTTTGATGTAGCCAATGGAAACAGTCATTTCTATGCCCCATGGTTAACTCAACATTAATTAAAACATTGTGTTGCATGGCCCTCCTTTCCATATTCTTTTCATGGCTTTTTTTTTTTTGTTTTAAAAGGTGTGCTTTTTCCAAATATGAATAAATCTGTGTGTCAGCAGCAGGACACACCTTATTGTAAATGCCCTAGCATTTTGAAGAATCTCTCCTAATTTAACTGCACAATAAGCCTTTTATATCTAAAAGAGGGCTTGAAACAAGGAAAAAGTATCAGCGACAGTGCCTTGTACATTTTAAAGATATCTTCCACATGAACGTAGTTATTTGCCTAGCAATGGGCAGCAGGCTGACTCCAGTGCTATTACCACCTTCCCCTTTCCAGACTAACAGCGCTCCTTCCGTAGAAATACAATCAAATGTAAGAAGAATGAGGTATAAATTAATTAAATGTTGTCCACTTATTTTCTTTTCCCTTTTCCCTGCATCTCTCTTTTAATCATAGAATATTTGCATTTGAAGGAGCCTTTAGTGATTCATAGAGTCCAACAACCTTCAGCATTTCCATCTCTTTCCTAAATGTTGTCTATTCGCTTATTTTTATTTCTTTTCCTGCCTCATTAACTTTTTTTCTTTATAGGCCAGCATAGCATTCTGTTCCTTGTATTCTCTTTCAGCTCCAAGTTGTCTGTCTTTCTCTCTATTCACAGAAAAATAATGTCGACATAACAGAGCTTTGTGCCCCGTGGGCACCAGCTTTTCACATACAAGTACCATGTTCCAAATACCTTTGCCCTGTGTTTTTTAATCAACAGGAATTTTAAGACATGTACATGAAGTTGTTTTTCAAGAGTCCCAATTCTTTTGTTCCTATTATGATGATGATCTTAAAAGGTTACAACATGGATTTTGAGGGTGTTTTTGCCAGCACATAGTCTGCTAATTTGTTTACTCTGTGATGTAATGATATGAATATACATTGTTCTGCTTATTGGTGCTTTTATTATCCAGGCTTTAGGCCTGCTGTCGCTGTTAAGAAAACTAAACTAGTTTTGATGTGGCTACAGAAATTTTGTGTGTGTGGTGGTAATACTACAGTAAAGCACTGTCCATAAAGTTAACAAAAATGTCATGTATGAGATATGTTCCAGGGAATATATATATCATAGTGGGTGTTTCAGTTAAAGGTGGTTCTTGTAAATTTTAAACTAATGAGCTTCATTTAGATTCTGATGTGCTCTGGTTGTGTGATATCACATTGAGGTATCATAAATACTATCTATGCCCTTGACTGGAAAGCAGTGGGGATTTAAGAAGATGCTTTTTCTTTGTAAAAAAGATGGTTCAGTTTGAAAAATGGTTTAATCAATGCTCATGTGAAAAGAAAAGTACTCTTATGGAAGAGATTTTTTATCTATTAGAGCATTTTTTTAAAAATACAAAACATTTTTGTCTAGTACATATCCAGCTTGAGCTGAGGTTTTGAAATTGCACCACAAGCATTTGCACTTCACGTTGATCACCTTAATAGTCAAAACTGTGAGCTTCAATAGTATCCTTTCTTGTGGAGATTCTCAGGAAGCTAAAAACAAGAGCTACATACAAATTATATTAAGTTTGTTTGGGTGGAGGTTAGTAAACTTCATGTTGTTCATGATTTGTTACAAGGCTGGGTTTGTGTGTGCAGAAATTGTCAGCTATCAAAGGAGCAAGAATAGAAGTGTAAGACATTGTTTTCATGTAGCTGACTACAAATAAAGGCTGCTTCCATATGTTTCGCTTGTAAATTTTATTTATTAATCAACTTATTTTTTCAGATATGGGGTTATCTTAGTGGGGAGAAGGCAGGGTTTGAACTTTATTGAGGGTATGAAATGTTCTAACTATCTTTAAATGTTGAGTCAGTGGGAAAGCTCTAGAAGAAGGGGCTGTATAAAAGGAATTTTTAAGCACCGTTCTTAAATGTGTGCCTGCCTTACATGTGCAGGAATTAAAAAAGAATAGTATATAAACAGCACTGCAAAACATACAGTACTTTGCCTGTCGATGGTAGTGAACTCCTAGGATTAGTGAGAACTCCTACAGTCTGTGATAGCTGTTGTTCTATCTTCTACAGGGCTGTGTGTGTACCTCTTCTATGGCACTACATCTCCCAGGGTCTGGGTGAAGGTTTCTCTTTAGCTTCTCATCTTACAGGCTATTGCATGTTAAGATTTTTCATACTTGCAATTCCCAGTGAGTGCAGTTCCATTGGAGGTAGCTGTAGTGCAGATTCAGGAATCTTCCCTTTCTGTTGGAATAAAGTTTCCTTTTCTCTGGGCTAGACAGAGGTGATCTTTTTGAGAAAGGGAGACATTTTGAAGAAATAGCTAGCCCTATATCACTACCAGTCATTGAAGAACTAGGCCACAGATCAAGACAATGCACAGCTCTTCAGTCCTTAATTCACTGAATGTAGCTACCCAAATAAGAGTGACTTCCAGAAATACTTTCTTTCAACTATGCCCTCTTTGGACATTTGCAATCCTGGCCATGGTGATCTATGGCTTTGTGACCTCCAGGTTGGATTGCTGCAATGCCCTATGCCTGGGAATAAACATACAAGCCCTTAAAACTCCAACTAGCATAGAATGCAACAGTGCACCTAGTAAGCAGCAGCGGTGGAAGAGAACACATCACCCTGGAGTTCTGGTTTCTGTACTGCAGCCCATTTAATAATGGATCAAGGTCACGGTCCTAATTTTCTAAGTTTTCATGAGCTTGGGACTCTTACTTGGGAACCCAGCTGTCAGTCAACAAGACCTTTTAAGACAGCTGTGCCCCTTATGAATAAGGAAGCCACCCACAAAAAGAGGGAATCATGAGTGCTGGGGACACAGCTTTTTTCAGGACTGGCGCACAGTTGTGGAAGTGCATTCATTGGGGAGATCAGGAGGAACATGAGCTTCACTGCCTTCACAAAGACAAGACTTGTCACTGTGCTTGCCCTCAGCAAGAAATGCATTTTAAAACATCCCTTCAGCACCAAGGAGAGGTAAGGGAGAAAGAACCAAACACGAAAGAATGAATCTTTCATTTACTTGTGAGGCACTCAGATTGCACAGTGATGAGTACAGTACAAAACCCTTTCTGGTTCTTGTTGTGAGGTGAGGTTTTAAACCTGCTGCTATTGCAGGACTTTAATATTACCCAACCTGGCTTTTACCCAAGTGTAAGTTTGGAGGGAAAGTCCATGTGTTGTGGGTGGGGGATTAATAGGAAGAAGGAAACACCTCTCTGGCAGGATTGGTTTTTTCCCCTCTCTGCGAAATGGTGGCTGTTTGAAGATGCCTAGAAGCTTCTTATTTCTGTCAGAGGGGGGCACAGTGCAGCTGAGGTGGTCAAAGGTGCATGCTAAGTACAATTGAGCACGTGACTATCATCAGAACTCAGAGGTGTGTTCATATGTTCAGTCTTCCCCCGTCTCCCTCCTCCTCTCCCTGCAGGCACACATTTTATACACAAAATAATTTGTCCACAGACAATGTTGTTTTCAGTCTGCAGCCAAAATGTTTTGAGAGCTGATTTATATCACTGAAATTAACAGTTTAGTCCAATGTTAGCATTGCTTCTCCAGCAGCTCAAATATCTAAATATGTTTGGTGGATATGGAATATGGTTAACTGATCCTCTTGCCACACACTTCTGTTACACTTTTTGGGAGAGTGGGCTGGGGG